TTTGATAAAATAAAATTAAATTTTAATTAAATTCTGTTGTCGTCAGTTAGTAGACTCTAAATTTGTGATTAACTCCGGAGATATGCCCAGTAATGTACTATTTTGTGCTTCCCAAATAAAAATAGGCTATTTACTTTCTTATTCGATAGATTGTTAAAGAAGTTGATGGGAGAACGACCACAACACATTACATGGGAAAGATTATTTCACGAAGAAAACCAAGCCTGGCAAGAGTAAGAGTGTATCTATGATGGTAGAAGAATCTGCCAAAATGGTTGAACTTTATAGTGATCAGAAGGCAAATATAAAAAGACTAAAAACAAATCGTTCAATTCGATCCACAGCCATTAGGTACTAAATAAGTATAAATTGTGGAGTAGGAATTAATAAAAATTACTGGGGGGACAGCGTCGTCGATCAAACCTTAGCTCCACATGATTGAAGAACACTTAAAAACCAAAATCAAAAAATACCTTCCAGTGACCTCTGTCAATTGCGTTAGATTTTAATCAAACTGCTATCCTGCAGATATGGTATGCTCACATCCGCAAAAAAATTGTTTTTTTAACAGGGTTCGACTGCCAAGGGCATATCCCCTTTACTGCGCGATTATAAAAGTACAGATACACATATATACAGTCTGACACAATTAAAAATTGTAAATTTAAAACGTAACAGAATATCATCGCTTGCTCAGCAAAGGAAATGGAAGGCTAAGGATGCGAACTCCATTGATGTATTTTAAACAAATAGTTGTATACGACCTATACAAACATGGGTATCACAGAATATAAAATATTACAAATTTATCACACGCTTCTCCAATTCATATTGCAGCGCGCTATTATGACCACTTTAACCGTCCGTCCGAGGCGTTCTCGTAGCTACAGTTTTCAAGATATTTAGTCCGCCTTTTTTGCTTATAGCTCTGCCACTTCAACCAAGAAAACCTGCGCAATGTCAACTTTCTTATTTATGGAGATATTTGTTTGAAATCTTAATCTGGAACCTGGAAAAAAAGGATAGTAGGGTAGGGAAGATGGCTGTGGGCATTGGAAACAAAAATGGGGAGGTAAGTACTAAAGCCGGTTCGACTTTAGTGCCCATTGATCTCCTTTTACGAACCCACAGGGGAAAATTGGATCAATTTCATTATTCATTTATTCGTCAATGCACCCAGAATTGTATGGTCCTTTTGTGTGTAATTTTACGGGCAGGCAATCTTGAAAACCAGATTTTGAAATCAATTTTCAGAAAAATAGAATAGGGGGAAATTTCAGTTAGTGCGTCACCGTAAAATGTATGTTAAGGGCTAGCCGTGGACCAGGTTAATACAATGTTTTATCGTTGACTATTTCCCTCGTCTTAATTTCTACCAATCACAAACGCGCGATTTTGAATTACAAATGGTTTCTAGATGGAAAAACTGAATGACAGCACCTGTCGGCAGTTTTTTCGAGTTTACAGGCAGCAAAACGTGACAGCTGTTTTATTTAATTTAACATTACAGTACCTTTGATAACAAGCAATTGTCTCCTACATACTTATTATATACAGGGTGTTCACCCTCTACCCCCCATGGTCATTCCCTTACAAATTTTAAATGACAAGTGGTATCGAGTAATAGCTTGTTTGAAAGGTCTTTCGAAATGCTTTGTTTTGACGTTCGATTTTTTAAAATCGGTAGATTCGTTTTTGAAAAAATTAGAAAAATCTTTATTTAATTTATTGAATCGACCTATATCTTAATTTGTTCAGAACAAAAGCAAATGAAAATATCACTAATTTGTTGCTATGAGAAATTTAATTTGCTGTTAGTTACCTTTCTGACAATCTTGGGATGGTGAAAATTAATTTATTATTAATTTAATTAATTAATGGTTTACACACTAGCCGAAAGAGTGGAAATTATTTTAATTTATGGTGCCCAAAATCAATGTGCTTGGAAAACTGCCGTCACGTTTAACGCCAGACCCCGGAAAGATATCTTGGCATAGGTATGTTTTGGACCTTGTTACTAAATTTACTCAAAGTGGATCTTTTGCAAAAAAAAAATAAATCGATTTAAAAAAATCAAGCGTCAAAATAAAGAACTTCGAAAGACCTTTCAAACAAGCTATACTAAATACCACTTGTCATTTAAAATTTTTAAGGGAAGGACCCTGGAGGGTAGAGGCCGAAAGGGAAAGGGAGTTTTTGGTTAAAAAGTTGTCCTCCTTGACAAATCTTTTGACGTGTCTCGGCGTTTTTCCTTTAATTAGTGGTTTTCGATAAATCCTTGGTGGGAAGTTTTCAAATGAACACCCCGTATGCATAGGTAGTATGTTTTGTAAACTATGTGTATGCAAAATAATCTGTTACTCATGAAATAGTTTTGTAAAATACGATTCGGGCATGTAATTTTTCCTGTGAGAAAAATCGAGGAAACACCATGCAAACCACAACCATCACAATAAGCATTCGTGCAGGTGCAAAAATCCTCGTCTTGGACTCGGATTTTTGTTGCCATCAGCACTCATGCTTCTTGTTAAAATATTAGTTAGCAACATGTTTTTTTCGATTTTTTTCGGAAAAATTAGACGCCCTTATGATATTGCGGGCGAATAAGTTTTTCACCCAACGGTTTTATGGTTTTTAAGAAATTTTTTTGACATGAAAGCCTTGTTTAATAAATTATAGGCCATAGGGACAGAGTAATTCATGTTGTAGGTAACGGAACCAAATTGAAGTAAAAAGATGAAATCACGTTGGAGAACAAGTAAAAAATTAACCCAGTTATTCTAATTGTAAGCAAAATGGAAATAAACAAAGGCAATAACAATCATTTTCCTAGGAAGTCTTACGTTAGCATGCTCGATCTCAAATTAGGGAAATTAAAACGGCGCTTCTTGCAATAATTTTCCGGTTTTTTTAACTCGCAAGCGCAAGGACGCGTAAGCGTTAATTTGATGTGTAATGATTTCGTAAATGACTGATGATAGGGCGAGCAACAATTTGTTGTGAAGGGTCAAAACACTACCAAAATCCCTCTTTCGATCGGGCGCAATATGTGCAGTAAATTTATAAGATATCCGCCTGTAGGTTCGCACAACTCCCACTTATTGTATCTATTGAAATCACCATACGCGCAAGGGTTCGCGAAGAGGTTCAAAGGGAAAAATGATACATTTCCGGAAATATATTTACATCAAAATTCAGTGGGAGGACAGAAACGATGTCAAGCAGAAAAACGTACATGCAAACAAAAAAATTACGCATAATTCAAATACTGTAACATCATTTCATCGTCGTCGTATGAAGGGAAATCGATAAGTTATTGTTAATATTGGTGAGCTATTTCCGCTTGATGTACATTTTTGCAAATCCGATTCGCGTGGTTGCAATGTCCGACATGTCATAAATGCGGAATTTGAAGTATTTAATACGGAATGCGCAATATCATGTACAAGCAAATGATTAGCGATGTTTAATTAATATCAGGATATTAAGTGATCGCTTACTTAATTGAAATTTAATTTTAATCGACAGAAAGTTCCGGTTTGGTTTAGAAGATTCCGCGTAGATCATACGCGCGTTAAAAGGGCAATTAAATGTAATCGTGCGTATGACCTAACGGGTCACATGTTAAACTGTTGTAAGGACATAAACACGCATAAATTAATAACCTCCTCATTATCTAAATACGAGGCTAACTAAAGTGTAGGAAGATCGTAAGCCGTATGCAATCGATGTAAAATTCGTAGTCTTCCTACCCTTCCTGTAGGACCATGCGGCGCCAGTGCGATCCCGCACGCGGTCCGACAGTATCGCACCCGCAACCCTTAATTCGCGCACTTCTATTACACGTCGTTACATCGCAAACGCAATCGAAATAGACTCTTTGTGAATTTAATTCGGAAGGTTTTACGTGTCTAAGTTACTTTTAAGTGGATTTTGTGAGTTACAAAAAGTTGTGGGTTAAACGTTATGGTAAGTTTTAAACAAATTCTCAGTCCGAATTTTAGACTATGCCATATTTAACTAACTCGTAGATTTATTACGGAAGCGCTCGGCAGGAAAACTGTACTAAACGTATTGCGATCAATATTTCTTTGACAAACATTTTATCAACAACTTTGTGGTTCCACAATTCTGCGGAGCTTTTGAGATTTCTACTGGGGTAGTAGCGGTGGAAAAGTTTCCAGAAGTCTTTTTCTCTCCTTTACTGTTCTTTAAAATTATGAAGGTAAAAGTTGTGTTTTGTACTGGTTTAGAGATAATTATTGGTTCCTAGACAATTGTTTGTGAGGAATAAAAAGTTCTTTTATTACATTACGAAACTTTAGTGTTTAGATGAAGGAAGAGGACAAAGGGCCTGCCCTTAAGCCTTCCTTAAACTTTAGACACATACCTTTCAAAGTATTATGTAAAAAGTTAAGAGCGGATCAGTAAAACGTTTAGTCTACCAAGATGGCGTACAGTAATTTTCCTTTGTCACCATACGAAATAGTCAAATGGAAACCCAGAAAATCCCACAGTTTAGTGTTCAGAACGCAACAAGGATTTTTTAAACGGAAAGAAAAGTGCGTTAGTAAAAATAAAAAGAGCTAAAGCATTGGAGAACCTTGATGTCGTGCCCGTGGCTGGTAGTATTGTTGACGGTGTGCTATTTTTAGTTAATAGAAATACTGCATTAATTAGCGACAATTTATGTGAACTCAACATTCCGCAGGGGTTAATCCAAATTTTTCTAACACGCAAAAGTTCAAAAATCAGATCATTACACTAAAAACCACTCGGCCCTGTTGGACGTGATTTTATACAGTTGACAGTTTTCAATCTGTCATAAAGTATGAAATGTCATTTTAGCAATCATAAATATACCTGAATCGGTCTGCAATAAAAATTCAAAATTTCGAGGTTTGGTTATTTTATTTCGTAACGCAATTATGAATTATACGTCCTTCGGCTGTGGTAATTGATGTTTATTTAATAAAGTCAATAAAGCCTTATGTTTGTGAGGATTAGAACGCAATGCAGACGGCTACTTAGAAACGTCGGTCGCGTTTAGTACTTCGGTGCATGTTTGATTTATGTCTAGGATTACTAGGTAAGCATGGCGGTCCTACTTACTGTAACCAATGCTTTCCCAATTATTTATTTACCTACTGTACCTAGTTAAACTCGGATAATGTTTTCGGTAGGCGCGAGTGTTAGACAATGGGCTTACTATGAAGAGTCGCTATTTCTAAGATGTAACGTGATCTACTTATAAGTGAAACTGGAAATCCAAAGTAGCTTTTGTGGGAAAATAAATATTCCAGAAAAATCTTTTCAGTCCTTGGTCCAGTTTTAAATATCATTACTAAAAAATTGGAGTACACATATACATACATTCATTCATATCAATTAGATTGGACTTTAATTAACAAATTCAATAAAAATTTGAAAATCAAAGAAAGTGTTAGGAAAATGAACTGTCAAAAATTCAAAAAGGAACGCATATAACGTATGAAATTACGGTATAACGTGACAATTTACGTTGGATTAACCCATATCAATTTATATATTATTTTAATTTTTGTCTTTAACGTACACCTATAGCCGGGTCGAATACCCAATAAAGGATTTGGTTAGTAATAAAATAAATCTGTCAACCGTGATGGAAATGAAAATCGTCGTTATTCTGCGTATATCAAATTAAGAGAGCTTTGTTTTTTTAATAAGCTTTAGGAAGCTCCTCGAGTCGCAGAAAAGGCGTAATCTTATCTTGGTCGAGTTTAGTTACAGAAAAAGTTGATCTAAGCATTAGGTGCTTTTATCGTACCATAGATCGTACCCATTAAAAGATGCAAGTCAACAAAAGTCTAAGGGTGATTAAGTATAAAGTATGACCTAAATTTAGAGGGGATCTCCAATAAGATTTCTTCTTGAAAAAAGATAGTGGACTTATTTATTAAACGTAATGCAAAAAAAAAGGTGTAGGTAATTAGCACCAAATAGGAGTGATTAGTCTGGGAGAAAAAAAATTATTATTTGCGTCTTGATCACGTAAGTCAATCGGAAATCAAAACACGAGCTCGTGCAGCTACAGATAAATTAACTATGACCGAGGAATAGTTTTAATTACAACGTGCTAGTTTTTATGCTATCGACTTTTACAAGATAGTTAGTTTCCTTTTAGTGTCGTGTATAACACAAAACTTTATTTCATAGCAGAAGCCATACAAATCATTATAAAACTTTTGAAAATTGTGTAGGTATTTAAGTCAGACGTCCAAAATAGCAACCCATGGTTTCTCCTGTTGTTTCTAAGGCAACAGTATTGCATTCTGTTCTAAACATCGTGCTCCGCATCCCATTTTAAATACAAACGACAGGAGTTATTGTAATACATCATTGTGTTGTTTCACTTTTCTACCCTTTTGCCTTTCGGTTAAAAAGACACTTAACCTAACCAATTAATAGTTATTTATTATACAAGACCTTGAAGGGATATTTTAACCATCACGAGATGGTCAGTTCCCCTTTATCGTCGTGTATAATAAAAAAGTTTATTTTATAACCCATACGTTAATCTTCTGACAATTCTGAATTTAATTTAAAAATAGCAAGCTTAGGTTCTGCCGTCGCGGTCGTGTCCATAGAAACAGTATTGTATTATGTTCTGAACTTCATTTTATTTCGTGATCTGCATCCCATTTGAAATAAGAATGACAGACGTCATTAGTATCCACAATCATCTGTTCCACTTTATCTACCCTTACGGATAAAGTGATCACTTTATCTATCATTTTTACTGCCTTTGGGTGAATTCTTAAATCCTCTCTGCTTAAAACCTCTCCTGCAATCTGAAATGTGACTAAAAATTCCTTGATCTTTTTGTTGCTTGTCAAATAAATAAACACCGAATGGCCAATTGATCATACAAAGTGGGCCATTAGCGTGTGGAGGGAAGATTGTGGGTTTATCAACGCACATATTAAAAATTCATTGTCGAAGCATGTTCCAATAATAATAATAATGTATTTATTTGTCCAACAGAAAGAAATTCCAATAATAGCACAAAGAAAAAATTTACACATAGCAATCTAGATATGGTATGTTTCAATTTTGTGTCATTACTTAAGATTAACGCGGCAATAGTTTTTACTTTCCTCACTAAAGGGGAAAATCACATTTTCTTCACCCTTTTTAGAGACGAAAGTTTTTATTTCTAAAGTAGTGTCAGAAAAATGTCTATTCAGCATTCTGTGCCAGATATTAAGAGACTCTTTTCTTTAATGTAGATAGATATCTCACCCTTCGTTTGTATAAACTATACGTGTTATTAAATTTGCTTTTCGGCGTTAAAATATCTATCGGCCAAATTCCTTTTATAATTATTTAAACACTGCGAATTACCTTTGGGCAATTTTCTACTGACCCGTTTGGGGGCGAGTATCTGCTAAGTGAATTTTCAGATGAGAATATATTTCGAAGAGAATTTCCCGGGATGATCATTCTGGGGTCCATATTAATTCTAAATAATTGACATTATAATAACCTCATATACTTGAGGATAAAAGAAGTTCTTATTTAATCAGGAATGACACGTGTACTACTCCATTTGTTATTTCGTATGATGAAAGTAAAGATTCGACTTTTTGAGTGATATATACTCGCATTCTCTTTATGTATATATTTTATGCATAGTATAGAATGTTACGGTGCAAGTGATTTATGTGGGGATTATTCATAATCACCGAAAGCAAGGAGACATTGATTTAAAAAAAGAACCACCTGGGGATCGCTTCTTTTCCTAAATTATTGACATTAATCAGCAATTAATAATAACACCCTAATTAATTACTTTAACCGCAACATATACATGAAGGAGAATGCTCTGTAAAGTCGCACAAAAATTTAACTTATACAATGGGAATATTAAACAAGTATAAATTGTACACAACTCTTGTGCAGATAAAGCGCATTTTTTAAACCGAAATAGCTTATTAAATGCTTGGGTTATAAGGTAGTAGCATGCCATCGATGTTTACTTTCTTGGTAGATGATTAATGGAGAGGAATCTCTGTACACATAAACATTTAAAGGTTCTGGAGATATAAGGGATATAGGTGGAGGAGGAGGACTGTGGTAGGTAGAAATTCTCCTAGGGGCAAGGCGCGCGTCTTCGTGACGTAGTCGACTTTGGGCGTCCAAAAGTTTCTAGCTCGAATCGTGATCTCTCTTTCTCGTGTGGCTAGTAGAAGCTTGAGCTATGAGAAGTGCCCCAAAAATTGGGTACTATTTTGTGGTGGGTTTTTTAGCGAAATCCATTCGAACATCTTATTGACGGTGGAGTCAAAACTGGCTAAAAAAGTACTGATCTTCCACACAAAAATGCGCTAAAGTTCCTTCGATCTCACAGGATAACTTTGATGATTTTTAAAATTCCCCATCGAAGTTGGCCATTATAAGCTCATTGTGAACACACAAACATTACCTTAGAATAATTTGCAAATGAAGTAGCTCGGTTCGGGTAATTTTAGTGGGTTCACAATAATTCAATGTGGCAAAGTAAACTTCGACGTCGAATTTAAAAAAGACCCGTTGTTAGTTATGTTTATCAGAAGCTGTTTAGTACTAATACTGACACCTCCCAAGAAAAATAGATTGTTTTAAAACATTTCGAAATTTTATCCATACCACCCAAATTATTAAAAAAAAAATCGACTTTCTAGCTGTACGGGGTGTTCCAAATAAAATAACTACATGGATTTCGTGGGAAAAAAAACTAGGTAACAAAAATTCGTTAACCTCATTCGATTGGGTGTAGTCGCTTGTAGCTCCCGATGAAAACTTAAAATTTTTAAATATTGTATCTTTCAACAAATTGAAGCAGCGTCGTCGTATACAACTGTTATAAAATTTACTAGTTGCGTCGCATATGCTGGGTGTTACATATATGTATGTAAAAAAAATTGAGTGATAGAAGGGATCAAAACAAGCACTTTTTCCAAATAAATTCAGGGTCCAACCTATTTCGTTTAGGGGCAAACCTCATAAAAGTAGTGCAGTGGTCATTATGACGATCTCGAACCAGTGACGACAACTAAATAATATTCGATTATATTAGTTCTAATAAACTCCTTTCATTTGATATGCAACTTGCTGGGTCTACAGTCACATTTGTGGATTAGTGTGAATGGTTTAGATGAAACCGCTAATTTAATGCATATGACGTCATAACTCAACATCTACCACGAGTTGGAACGGCCACCCAACTTTTTTTTGAAGTCGTAATGGTCCTCTTCAAGAAAAAAAATGGGTGGTGCTCTATACACCACATTGCATACAGGGTCTTCTGGTCAGTCAGTGGATTACAGGCTCCCTCCTCATACATATTGAAGCAAAATAGTTATTTACATAAGAGTCAGATGAAAATGACACATTACTGGCGAGGAAATTGGAGCCGAGTACTTCAATTTACGAGTCAAGTAGTGTCATTTTACTTACGAGTCTGGTATTATATTTTACCCGACCGTATTTTAATATAAAATTTTAATTTTCATATAGAACTTTTGATTAATGTCGATCTGTCGGTGATGACAGGAGTCATTACAGACATTGTGGCAGGTACGGCCGAAAAAGTGACAGGTCATGACGATTTTGTGTAAATAAATTTAGTCACTTTTTATTTAGTTGATCACATCTCTGATTTGGAAACGTCTAAAAGATAACGTTATACAAATTCAAACAAAGGGTTATCAGAGAAAAAGCAATGGATCAGCGTCCCTCGACGCCGAGTATCAATAAATACGCACTCCTTTCGCCACAGTCATGTTTGGTAAGCTGCTTAACCGACGAACTGAAAAACGTGCAAACGTATAAGTCGCTCCCAAAGTTAAGTTAATACATCTCTAATATTGTATTTTTGATGAGGGTAATGCTAAAAAGGAGAAGCTTATAAGGAAACCCTTATGAGTAATTAAATTGTAGGTATACGTGGCCTAATGTATTATTAAACAGAGTATTTTCCGCTCGGATCAACAAATTCTTCACGAATAGAGGTTTTTCGTTAGTTGTACGCTATTATAAACTTATTTCCTGAAAACTAAACAGGGTGGG